TTTTTTTTTTCTTCTTTCTTTTTTTCTTTGGTTTTTCGAGACAGGGTTTCTCTGTGTCATTGGAGACTGTCCTGGAACTAGCGCGTCTTCGTTCTTCCTTTTTTTTCTTTCTCTCTTTTTGGGTACCTTAAATTATTTTATTATGTGTATGGGTGTTTTGCCTGCATGTTTGTGTGCACACATCCATGCCTGGTGCCTGAAGACAGAACAGAGTCATGGTGTCAGATCAAGAACTGGAGTTACAGTTATTGGTCACCCTGTGTGTGTTAAGAATTAAACCTGGGCCCTCTGGAAGCAGCCAGTGCTCTTAATCATTGGACCTTTTCTCCAACCCCCAGACTGTTTTGTTATACAACCCAGGCCCAGGGGTGCCATTGCCCACATTGGGCTGGGCCCTACCACATCAATCATTAATCAAGAAAAATGCCCAACGTGAAGGGAGTATTTTCTCTACTAAGAGTACCTCTTTCGACATGATTCTAGCTTGTGTCATGCTGACAAAGAACTAGCAAGCAAACTCTGTGATTCTATAGAAATTACACACCAGCTGGGTGGTGGTGGTACACGCCTTTACTCCCAGCCCTTGGGAGGCAGAGGCAGGTGGATCTCTAAGTTCAAGACCAGCCTGGTCTATAAGAGCTAGATCCAGGACAGCCTCCAAAGCCACAGAGAAACCCTGTGTCGAAGAAAAAAAGAAAGGAAGAAAGAAAGAAAGAAAGGAAGTACACACCATCTTTTATCTGCCCAGTGAACCACCTCACCTCTTAGCCTCTCATTCACTTAGATGTTCTGGTGTTCCAGCCTCTGGCTGACTACTACAACTGCCTGGGACAAGATTTCAAAGGCGGATTCAAATTCCTTATTTCCAGAGGCTTTCAAGTATTTCTAGTGAGGTATTTCAGTATACACCTCCGAAAGGGTTCCTTTCTATTGGTTCAGCTTTTGGATGCATTTTACTAAAGTCTTTCCATTACATGCTTTAAGAAACTCTTAAAGGTGGTGGTGCACACCTTTAATCCCGGCACCCAGGAGGCAGAGACAGGAGAATCTCTGTGAGTTTGAAGCCAGCCTGGTCTACAGAGAGTTCCAGGACAGGCTCCAAAGCTACAGACAAACCCTGTCTCGAGAACCCCCCAAAAGAAATTCTTAACTTGTTAACTCAACCCTTAACCCCTTATCCTTCAGATGTCTGATTTCTTTCTTTCTTTTTTGAGATACGGTCTTACAACATAGCCCATGCTGACCTAGAGGTTCAAGAACCTCCTGCCTTCCCAAGCACTGGAATTATAGGCCTATATCAGGCCCAGCCATTTCTCTATTAATGCAAATGTTATCATCCAGGAATCTTAGTTTGTGTTGGTTTTATCCACCAACTTTAAAAGATAGACCTAAATCACTCATTGCAAACACATTTTTATTAAAAGGCAGAGTGTACATACATCTCCCTCACACACAGACTGTCCACAAGTGGAAAGGAGATTTTGAAGACCAAAATTTGAAAAGCTTCTAAACCCCAATAAGCCTCTCTGCTAACGCAGCAATCCAAATCAAAGTAAATTTAGAAGAAGCCCATGTTTAATGGATACAATGATCCTGGAATGCCTTCCAGTCCCGGAGAGAGGAGACAGAAAAGGGATACTGTTTTCTGGTGGGCAGTTTAAATACCATGGCAAAGTGGTCTTGAGCATCTCTGGGACCATCATTTGGCAGGCTTTGCAGAGAGATAGGGGAGGGGGCTTGGGTGGAACTTCCATCGTAACTTTCCAGACACTGGGTATATGGATGTCAGGGACTGGGGTAAAGCTTCCACCATTACGAAATTGAGTCCACTTCACCCATCTCCCTGGATATATAAATGTTTTTAGTAGTACAGGATGGTCCCCCTCTCCTTATTTTTGGACTGGCTAACTTAAATAAAAAGGAGACATGGGCACAGAGCTTCATGCAAGCTGAGGCATGTCCAGAACTGACCTTGGGCATATCTGGGCAGGTCATCCAGAAGTAAAAAAAAACTCACCAGACTTTGTTCTAAATGAAGAAGAAATCTTAGTACTTATCCACAGCCTCTTTTCCCATCTGTCTACCTGCTGGGGTTCTTATCTACCTGTAGGGTTTTTTGTTATGTTTTCTTAACTCTTTGCTCTTTGGGGCCCCACCACCCAGCTCCCAAATAAAGATACAGAGATTTATTCTTACTTATGAATGCCCAGCTTCAGCTTGGCTTATTTCTAGCCAGCTTTTCTTCACTTAAATTATCCCATCTATCTTTAGCCTCTGGGCTTTTACCTTTCTCTATTCTATATACCTTTCTTTACTTATTCTGTGGCTGCCTGTATGGCTGTATCCTCTCTTCTCCATTTCTTGCTCTCCCTCTTCTCTTCTCTGAAGCCTAGATTTCTATTTATTTTCTCTGCTAGTCAGCCCCACCTACCCCTTTCTGCATAGCTTTTGGCCATTCAGCTCTTTATTAGACCAATCAGGTATTTTAGAAAGGCAAACTAACACAGCTTTACAGAGTTAAACAAATGCAGCATAAAAGAATGCAACATGTCTTCGCATCATTGAATGGATATCCCACAACGTAAATGAATGTAACATATCTTAAATTAATATTTCACAATCTACCTTCAAAATTTGCATTTTCTCCTTTCCATTTCCTCTTTTCTTCCCATTTGCTCCGTTTCCTCCTACTGGTTTTGGGCTATCTCATGTTAGAGGCTTTTCTAAAGTGTTAATTATCCATGACCATCCATCCCTATTTTAAAGCTTTCTGAAAAATCAAGAAGTGTTGCAGAGGGTCAGGTGCATCTCAATTCAGTATCTGTTCATTACTGTTTGAGTTGATACAGCCTGGACTGACCTTGAACTCCAGATCCCAGTGCCTACTGATCTACACCACACTTACATTGACTTTTGGGCAATGTAAACAAGTATTCTGGGATGAGGTACATGAAACTG